CAGATTTAGCTATATCTTTGAACTAGACATATGCACGTATCAGAGCAAATTTTGCTGCCAAGTTTCTATCCAATAAAAGTCGCTCCTCTTTCGTTTCGTTTATCCGAAGAAATAAAGGCAATGAACACATGCAATGACAAGGCAACGCTACGAAAAAAAGGGGCGGGGGGGGGGGGGGGGGAGAACAGAAAAAGAAGATTAAAAAAAAACGCATAAAAGCAATCAAACATTTTAACTTAAGCCTGTATCAACGCACAACAAAAATAACAACAGCAACAAATCCTACATAGAAGGCCGAACACAAAACACAAAGATAATCTCAAGGGAGGGAGAAGAGAATTTACGACACATTAAAGACATCCGATGGGCAACATTGATATCGTCTGCTGTGCGAACTTAGTTATTGCCACAGACGTCGCAAATAAATCCCCAACCAGGCAATCATTCAGCGGGAAAACTGTAAAACCTCCAAAAGTGAGTCACTTTTAATGACGCAGCCCATACAGGAAACAGGTATAGTGCTAACGCCATTTATAACGGGTCATTTTGAGAAATCTGAACCGAATGTCGCAATTGATAGTTATTCTTCGTTGTCGTAAAGTTTTCTGATGTTTGGGGTAGGACTAGTACGGCTGTGAATATTTTATAGACAACATTAGACCATTTAACTGTTCAGATAATTTGTTTGTAGAACGGTGATTGGCAGAGCTGCGTTTGGGGTTGTTGATGGGGCTCCAGTGACCGTCCAATGTGTACATTATTTATCGCTTTTTCCTTCTCCTGTTTCGTTTTATACAAACAGAAAACATATTCACTTCTATTTCTAACTTCATAACACGGATACTACAGGGCAACAAAACTAGACACTGAAGTCGCGTACTGGCTCACTCTGTTTCCTGTTTCTTTCTGGTTCTGTTTATGTTCACAAATTGTATGTATGTATGTAAGTATGTAAGTATGTATGTATGTATGTATGTATGTATGTATGTATGTATGTATGTATGTATGTATGTGTGTGTATGTATGTGTATGTATGTGTAGTATGTATGTATGTATGTATGTATGTATGTATGGGGGGGGGGGGGGGGAAACGAAAAAGAAGATTATGTATGTATGTATGTGTATGTATGTATGTATGTATGTATGTATGTATGTATGTATGTATGTATGTATGTATGTATGTATGTATGTATGTATGTATGTATGTATGTATGTATGTATGTATGCATGTGTATGTGTATGTGTGTATGTATGTGTGTATGTGCATCTTTTTATCTTATTTATTCTGTCTGTGCTGTACTTGACAAGGTTGACGTGGCCCAAACAACAGTTACACGGAGCTTGTTTGACCGAACTTTTGATTTCTTTCTTTATTTGTTAATACAATTTTCCCCTTTACTCACAGATCGGAATCATCTTCCGTGTGGTGATTAGCTTCTGTTGACCTGGCCTGTTATTCGTATGACAATCGCCACGATACCAAAATTTCTTCTCAATTAACTATAACGGTCATATCCAGTTAGTCATTTCTAACTTCACACAGAAACACACTCCCAACCACCAACCCACACAAACACTTCCTCACCCACCAACACACTCAAACACTCGCTCACCCAACAACACATAAACACTCTCCCAACCACCAACCCACACAAACAACATTTCCCCACCCAAAAAACCCCCCCCCCCCACAATATACACAAACACTGGCCCACCCAACAACACACATAAACACTGGCCCACCCAACAACACACACAAACACTGGCCCACCCAACAACACACATAATCACTCTCCCAACCACCAACCCACACAAACACTCGCAACATTTCCCCACCCAAAAACAGATCGGCAGACAAGCGTCTAGTCACGACACCATGGCGACGCCCTACATCTATGGTGGGAGCCAGTTGACCACAGTACATCCACTGCTGAATCTGCGAACATTCCGTTCTGAAGCCCCTGTGTTTACCACGTACGACTATCGTCTCAGTGTCCGAAAGCTAAATTAACGAACCGCTCTCCGTGGATTACATACCCTGCGACGTCGAATGTTATGAAACGCACTCACTAAACTCTAAGCCACAGAAATGCGCAAGTGCACATATGCACCTTTAAAAGCTCAAAATTATTTCGACCCAATAACCCTGAGATACATCTCTCTCTCTCTCTCTCTCTCTCTCTCTCTCTCTCTCTCTCTCTCTCTCTCTCTCTCTCGCTCGCTCGCTCGCCAGAGGTCACACTAACTTAACCCGTCAAATCACTGGAATATCCAACCCATATTCAAATCAAACTAACATAAAACACACTGATCCCATCATCAGCATCATTCGATCAGAATGTCGTGACAACCGCTGGAAGACTCCATGAATCAAGATTGAATGGGCCACAAAAATGTAGCAACAAATTGAACGCTATCGTCGAGACGGCAACTTCCAACTAAAGAAACAAGCTAAACATGGGGAGCCAAATGACAGATTTATGGAAACTGACATTCCACA